TGCACTGCAGAGAAAGTCAGTCAATGTTACCAATTTGGCATTAAAACCTCACTTCTTTCTAACACAGAATCTAAAAGTAGAACATGCAATATGTAAAAATTACTGATAATCTAATTTTCCCTTAGATGTCTATGCTATGTTGTATGTAATGAACACTTTCCCTATCCTTGACTAACTGCTGGTGTTTAGGAGAGAATAAAAAAAATACAAACAAAAGCCACCACAGAACAACATGAACAAAGGAAAAAGCCCTCTCTTACAGCAGAAATTATGCTAAGATTTTATTATAATTACTGTCTTAATGCAGCTGATACAAATTCAGACTTAATATCTGATCTGTAGATTTGCTTCTGAAACTTCTAAGTATATACACAGTAAGTTTACAATTCAAGCCAGCATGGTCCTACCATCTTTACAAGTACTGGTATAAATGCCTTATTACCTTCTCAGATGGAGGGCTGGAACCTTATGGCAAGATGGAAATCACACAGTTTAATTCTCACACCACTGGGTTTGCACAGTGCTTTCATAGGCAGAGACTCCTTCACAACAGCAGGAACGATGCCTTCCAAGAGCACATCTCAGCAGAAGACCGGGCAGGATTCCTATACCAACAAGCAAGGCACACTGCACCCAGAGTATCAGCAACCTCTCTATTGTTCTAGGCTATGAAAAATATCTTGCCCTAGAAAAGAAAAAAGTGACTTAATGACACTAATGACAAAAATGTAGGAAACAGGCTAACAGCTCAGAAGGTTCTATTTATAGGGGCTTAAGCCTGAGGTAGGCCTAAGTGACAGTGACACCGTTGATAATTAAAAAGGACGAAGTACTTCACTATACTGATAACAAACGTTAATAATATATGTACTTTGAAAATACAGAGTAAGAGACTTCAATCAGATTCCAGTGACCTCTTCATGACAATTTCTATCCCAATCACACCAGTAGTGATTAGATGTTCACCAAGTTAATGGTCAATGACATGCATGACATGAGCTCTGGACTACAAAAATACGTTTTTACTAGCTTGTTTGTCACTTTATATTGCAATCTGTCAATCCTGTTCCATTTGGAAGTATTTTTTAAAATATTCTGCAAAAAAAATAATTTATATTCATCTATTCTCAGTTTATGCAATGAAATATACATTACAAAGAAGTAACATTACAAGTAATGACCTTGTCTGGCTGTAGTGAAGATGAGCAACGTGAAGGTCCTCAAACAGCATTAATACCAAAAGTGAGCACAGAACCCAACACTGGGACAGCCCCACAGGCTGGAACAAGGTACCCACTTAATCAAATTGCACCACTGCCAGACTTGGCAAATGGCACCTGCTGAACAGTTCCAGAAAGTTCAGAAGAGAAGAATTAATACGTCATTTTCCCTGCCCCTCGCTCACTATGAAGAGCCTTGTTCTGTGACAGCAGAGGAGGGATGAAATGGCACACAAGAAATACAGCATGTCTAACTTTAGCTTCCCTCTATTTCTGATGGAGTAACTTCAAAGGCAGCAAAGAAGTTGCAGTCTGCTCCCATTAAAATTCAGAACAGTTTCCCCTGAACAACTTCAAGAGGAGAACTTTATATTAGGAAAAGCACACACCACTGAAATCAGACAAAATACACTTTAAGAGAAGTATTGTGATTAAAGGAGTGTTTTCAACAGCACTGCAGAAGTTCACAGTGACTTACCCAACCTCTATTCTATGGCAATGCTATACATATCCAAAAGGCTGGCACACCAGCAATGGAAAATGAAGGTAAAAGACAAGGAGGGGAACTCCTATGACTTAGGGTAGTCAGTACTCACTGTGCAACAGCATTTGCCCCAAGTACTTTTCCCTTAGAAGAACAAAAGCACAGCTGTGTAGGCAATGCTTGCTTTTTTAACAGCTAAATACCTCTTCCTGTGTCTACATATGGTCCAGTGCCTAGAGATCAGCTATCACACCCATGTAAGAGGGAGAAATGAAACTAAAAGTACTACAACACTCATGTATCCCATCTCTTGTAAGCTGTGAGCCACCATGTGACTACAGCCTGCGTGGAATCTCAAAGTCCCCACCTGCAGTCAACAGGGCACATGGGGCAGAAATCAAGCTTAACCACACAACAAACAAAACAAAACAAAAAAAAAGCAGGGGAGCTGTGAAGTTTTGAAAGAGTATGACAACTACTGTGATAAACAGTATGACTTTTACTACTAAACAGATTTCCAGCCATAAGACCTCAAAATAATTAACTAAAAATAACCTGAAGTGATAATAAGGTCAAGCTTGAACATGCCTTAAAAACTGGAGAAAGCTGAATGTGTTCCTTGAAGTAATCAGATAATGCTGGAACAATGCAAAGGAATTACAATCAACATGAAAACACATTTTAAAACGTGAACATTAAAACTTAGCTTTGCTGCTGTCAGACACAGAGGTGCCTGTGTGAATTCACATGTACAGCACACCTTTCCCACAATAAGAATGCAGATAAATTGCCACTTTAAAATGGGCAGGCACTCCAGAGAAAACACAAGACACTATCGTTGACTCGCGATGAAAGCCAGGAAAAATATAAAGACTTTTTAATAAGACAAATCTAAATTATTTAAATAGCACTTAATGCTTCTACCATTTTATCTTTTACCCCACTTACAGTCTCATTAATATCAGTTACTTCCCACAATAGCTTTGTGACCAAGGCCATCTACTGGTGAGTGGGGTGAATCAATGAGGTTTGTTGGCCAGATTTAATTAGTGCTTGTCAAGATTTAGGCACATGTATCGAAATTGTGCCAGGCAGCTGTCAGGAATTAATAAATATGATCACAATTTTCGATGAACAAATAAAAAATTAAGGCTTCCCAAATCCACATGGACCTAAAGAACCATGATGTTGCCCAGGGGAGAAGAGTGTGGTATTTTGAATCTGCATCCCGTTGTAATCCAGACGTCACGTCACCTCACTGCTCTGTGTAAAATGAATCAGACATATCAGTGTTGCTAATAGAGATATGAATTTTACCCCCAAAATCACTACCAAACCAGGTAACATTGTTTTCAAGAATTAATGGGGTCTGAATGGAAACATTTGTAGGCTAAAACTGCAAGCATTTGAAATGGAGATCTATTGGCTGCACACCATAGTTACAATTGTAGTTGTCCCCAGGCACTAGGCAACAGAAATGGATACCAGGCAAGGAAATGGAAGGGAAATTAAGCACACCCACATCCTTACACACTGTCATTTCCAAGGTGATGTCTGAGACGGATCAGCAAGGGAAACTGGGAGCAATAGCAAGCTATGACACAGAAATCCCCACACTATTCTACTGTTAACTGCTGGGCACCATTGTTCCCAAATCAGGAAGATGTTTTTAATAAGACACTTCCTTCAGCTCTTTTTTCCAAACTCTGTAATACTTAAGTTAGCCCTATGATTTTTAGAGTAAGGTATTTGAGTGGTAGCACTGGAAATCCCCAAATTACAAGACAATATTCTCCCCATTTTTGAGATGAAGTAAAATTAACCCTTTACTCATCCTTTCTGCCATAGGAATTTCTAGCAACCTCAACAGCATATAGAAATATATTCACTAGGAACTAGCCTGAAGAAAGTAAAATAATTTCTTATTGCTACTTTTGGATAGCAACATAGAAACCAGAAGTTCTTGTTTTGCTTGAACAAATGACACAGAAGAAAATATCTCCACAAGCGAAAATGTGGTTGCCATAAAATGTCAAATTCCCTTCAGTGGCCATCACTTCAGTCTGATTAATTGCTATGATGATCAGATTTATGACAGAGACTTTATGGATGGCAGGTAAAATGAGGCAAACCTTCCACGTTTGTCCATTAAAAGTTGGGTTTGGGGCTGGTTTGTGAGGGTTTTTCTAGGGTGAGATGGTGTTTTTTCTTCTGAAGCCAATATGAGACTATAAATCCAGTTTAATTACACCAGTTTTATTCAGTGTGGAAGAATGCCATTTTCCAATACAGCGAGCTTAGTAATTTATATGCCTGTCTGATTTATTTATGGTGCAATAAATCCATGGATAGTTCTGTGTCTGTTGGGAGATTTGCAGTCTCCAGGATAAGTTTTTAATTGAAGATCAGAAGTGGGGAAAAAACCCAAACCTCAAACTGCTGCCTCCTTTGGCTCCAACCCACAAGACAGACTACTTCAGAAGAATAAAACTGTTGCATGTAAATTTCCAATCACATATCACATCTTTTGCAGCAAAAGTGTGTTATCAACTAGCTGATGAGCTTTAGATGTTCCTCTCATTAAGTCATTGGATCAAAAGAGCTGAACTATGGAAAATTAAATTTATACCTTCAATTACAATTACTATGAATCACAGTAATTACACTTAACACTTTCGAAACACTGCACTTATGTCTACAACATGCCTTGGTAGACAGTTGGCTTTATATTTGAAGATGATAAAGGGGATGAAGAACCCTGTTATGATCTCCTGTTGATCTGCATAGAAAAGCCTCCAGCTACTTACACCAAAATTTCATGTTCAGAAACCAGAGATGAAGTGACAATAAGGAAGTTGTTCAGTTGCAACATTGTAAAGATTTGGTCATTTCTTTAACACACATTTGAAACAGAGGACTTCATTTAACTTCATTCCTCTTTTAAATTCATGTTTTCAACTGATTTTTCTTCCATAATTCTCTAAACTTGGAATTGCCTATACACTACTGAATTGAAAGGAATGAGTTTTTTTTTTTAATTTTCCAAAACATATATATCTGTTTGAGCCATTTTCCCAGTGCAATCGTAAAAGCTTTTTCTTTCTCCAATCCTGCAGCAAATACTAATAGCAGCTCTAACTTTCTTAACCTCAAATGTATTCAAAAGCAAGATTACCTCAAAATGAACTGCTGAGGCTAGACAAGCTAAGAAGTCCATCTACCTTTATTTCATCTTGCATATTATTGTTATATATTGTACAGTCCCTAAAGAAAAAAAAGAAACACAAGAAAGTAACTTAGAAGGGCCATCACTCATTAAGTGTTGTTTATTTTCAAATAGTACCATTTCTTGTCAGAATGTAAGAAATTGACATATCCATTGCATCTGCCTGAATGAAACTGTGCTGTCTAAACGCCTTGGATGAGCACTGGAACAAATTAAATTTCTACCAGCCTGTTCCAGGGAAAAGGCTTTGCTGTAACCATGCAGCACAGTGCAAGCTTCAGAAAGAATTTATGGAAATCATACATAGAAAATTCATCCCTCTTTTGGAGGAAAGGGCAGGAAGGGAAAAAAAGACCCCAAAAAGCCTGGCATTTGTTACATCAAAACAATTACAGTGGTACATAAAAAGGCTGTAAGAAGGCATTTATTCTAATAGCCTTGGATGTTCAATCCGTGTAATAGTCCAGTCTGGTTTTGCTCCTTCTGTAAACTCCCTTTGGAACCTGAAAAAGGAAAGATAATAAGTGAAGAGTTGTTAAGATTTATTTGACCTTAAGGAGCTACTAATATGACAAGGAATCATAAAGAAATACTTTACTTCAAACTTATTGCTGTAAAAGCTACTTAAAACTTTAATGCTTATTGCCCAAAATGGAAGATAAGTTATTTCCATAGTACGAAACAGAATGCACTGACTTCAGAGTATTTAGGTTCAGATCCCACAGACAGGATCAAGCAGCAATTGTAAAGACCCTGATATCAAGAAAACACTCAGTTTTCACAGCAGGAAAGCTTTACAGGAGATCTGGATCTGTAAATAAAGGGTTTCATTCAATGGGATGGTAAGTGAAGGGAAATCATGTGCTCCATATTTTACTTGAAAATTTTCCTCCTGCCCGAAGTGTAGTTTAAAAGGTAATATATATTCAGAACTACATCAAAGATCAAGTTAACAGTAGTACTGAGTCTCCCCCATCTAAAGACAAGTCTGAGCTTCAAGCTGAATTCTCATGTTCTCAAATTATCAGCATGTCATGGACAAGAGCAGTATAATACCACTGCTTTTCAACTATGTGCAAATCCACTCCTGCAAAGTGGGATTGGGAAGATATTTAGGCTTTAGGGGAACGCTCTCAAGGTTAATGGAACCTTAGAAATCTCCAACTCTAAGGAAGATGCTGAATTCATCTGAGGAATGGATCCACAACAATCTATCCAATCAAAAAAGTACTTGTCTACTCATGAGTGTTACTTTTGTTTCAGAGCTCCTCATCACCTAGACTCCATATTTTCAATTTCAAAAGTGGATGTAGAAATCCTTGATCATACCACATTTATCACATAAAAATCCTCACTTCTCCCAGCTTCTTAGAATCTTATTTTCAATACATTTTGCCAACTGTGTAGATATTTTCTGCACTGCTCTGATATCAGTACACCAATACAGACATTATTTATAAGCATTCCTATGAAAATCCATCTTCCTAATGAGCGCTTTGAAGATCAGAAACCTCATTCAGTGCTCCAAATACCACTCTCCCTTACAGAAGAAGAGTTCCCATTAATACTGACTCAGAAGCGAGAAAATAACATCATGACATTGGGGATATTTTAAAAATTTGGCCCTAAAACCAAAACTGGAAAGCTGGATGACAATTAACTTAGATTAGAATCAAAGTAAATTAAAAACACTGGCTTCTGCAGTGGCACAGTGGGAGCGCTTGCAGAACTGCCTACCCCACAGGACCTCATGGACATGGGACAAGAAAGGGACAAGCAAGCTTACTCATAGTTTGCGGTTAAAAGATGCTTCTTTTCTTTTGTGTTTTCATCTCCAAACACAATCTGGAAGACTTTGGCTTCACCTGGTACTTCATCAGGTAGATTAGCACCATTTAGATACCAGAAGCACATCAGGATGCTAACAAACTTTCTTCCTGTTGGAAATAAATCAAAACTTAGTTAGAGCTAAGTTAGATCTCATGTTTCTCGTTGGTCAAATACTCCTATTTGCTACCTAGCATATATTCTACTGAGACCCTGGAAGGACAGCAGACTTCAGCCATAAAGAATACAGGATAGAATAATGAGTGATAAAGCTATTTTATGCCATACTCATGCTGTTAAGCAGAAATAAAAAATACACTCTGTAAAAAAATATGTATTTTATCATGAGTGTGATGTCACATGTATATAATGAAACTGTATAAAAAAAGTTGGCTCCCACAAATTCCAAAGCTAACTACAAATGTGTGCAGAGTAGTTCAAACGTGGGAGCAATCTAAGAGGAGAAAAAGAAATTCCTGTTTCCCAAACCATGAAAAATGCTTCCTGGGTCTGACAACTTGAAATGCTCAACTGAAGACCCAGGGTTAGACCCACATATCACCTCCACTGTGTCTGACAGTGAACAAAAAACAAAATGCTGGTATCCAATCAAAAGAAAAACTTGCTTGAGCTCAGCACTAGCTTAAAAAAACCCCCAAACCATTCAAGGATTCCTAGAACAAAATGTATTTCATGACAGAAAGACTAAACCAGCAAAATTTACTTCATTACCAGCCTTCACTATTCTTTTTGCAGGATGCATTTTCATTGTCAAAGCAAACAGCTTTTAACATATATTAGAATAATTGTTTTTGAGGTGGTTTCACATTGCTGAGGAATAATAACATAAAATTCTGTACAAAAGAAGAGGAATAAGCAAAACCCAAACAGAAGTCAAAACAGTACCATGATGTATTAACGATAATGTGTGCCCCTAGTTTAAAAGGAAATAAAGAAATTTTACATGGATGAATTAGAAACTGAGAAACAAGGAATGAGAAACAGTATTCAAAACCAGATCTGCATGGAAAATGTGTGTTCAGTAGCAAACCCAGGAAATAAGACTGCTCATTGCTGAAATGTTTTAGGGTTCTAAACATACCATCATCATCATAGTAAATGCGAACATCTCCTTCTGTTGTGTACATGATTGCATCAATGTCAGCTGCTAAAGCATCCCTGTGGCTGTCAGGGAGCAAAGAAATCTTTTCCTTCAGCACCTGAAGTACCTAAATTCAGAAAAACTGTCACTTAGTTTTTCATTAGGAAATTTAATTAACAATCTATTTCTACTGCAGTTAATAAAATGAGCTGTACTGCTAAAACATTCATCTAACACGTGTAACAACTGAAGTGAAAAAGCACTAGGAAGTTTGGGCATTCCTAAACCCTAATTCAGCAACACTGAAGAAGGTCCTTACTGCTCAAAACAAGTGAAAACCAAGTATCTTAAAAAATGTTTAGAAAAGGTACTGTCAAAACAGCAGCAGCAACACAAGCCATGTCAGCCCAGAACAGACCAGTGAAGCTTGCTCCACAGTCACACTCTGCCTTCTCACTGCGGAATTCCCTCTATGTGCAGGTTCTTAAGCTTGCAATTCGGTATCTTTTAGCTATCTCTCACAAATTTCTTTGAAAATCAGTTTCATTAACAATGAGTTTCTTTGCCATTTTGTGATCCACACTCCATTTAGAAAAAGTTTAAACACTTGCAAATCAGAACTGACTGAAAATTGTTCCCTTGGTAATTAATGTCCTTGTGACACTCACATCCATATTATCTAAGTGTCCTATGATCCACACAGCTCTGTTAAGTAGAAAATGGTGGGGTGCAAAAACTGCACTGAAGTAGCACCCCAAATACCACATACGAAAGTCAATTCACAAGAAAGTATGAAACTAAAGAACTTATTTTTAACTAATACTCATTTTTTACCCTAACTTGATCTACTATTTTTGAGTAACAAACAAATGCAGAGGTAACATGGAAGCGAGAGGCAATCTTCACAAGGAGACATTGGTTTCTAGTACATTTTGCAGGTACAAAATTCACTGGCCAAAGAAATGAAAAAGTAGTATGGGATCGCAGCCTCATCTACTACATCCTTGGCTCACATGAAATCTCTGCATCAATGTAAACCTGAAAAATTAACAGCGACCAGAGCAAGTTCTTTCAAGAGGAAGCAGAGATGCCCTTTCAGAACAACTGCAAGAAACAAACTCACGTTTTATTGCTATCTCTGTTCAGAGAGGAGGCAAGACTGTTCAGAGGGGATGCACTAGAACAGCACCAGAGTTTTTGCTGCAAAGGCATGGGTGGCAATAGGACAGGCCATGCTGACATCCTGTAAACAAGGCAGACAGAGACCTGGAGTGTCTCCTCCACTTGACTCTGATGCATCTGTTACCTCCATGCCCTGGGAAGGCCAAGACAACTTCAGCAATTAAAAATTCATAAAAACACAGAAAACACAGCACTGATGTTTAACCAGGTCAGTCATATCCCTGAGACCATGACACAAGACTGGGGCCTTCCAGCCAAAACCAGTAATCAGCTGTATGATCTGATGGGGGTGGGAATGTATCAGTGCAGCAGGGATAAGCACAAAACCAGTTTATTTCTTCACATGAATTCTGGTGCATAGACTGAGTCAGCTTCAGCCACCTGCCTACACCTAGAGACACACAATTCCACCTGCCATCCAGAGCCTTTCCATTCTTCCTGGTACACCAGCCATCTTTCTGGCCTTTGGTCCTTATGCTCACCAGCCAAAATACAGTTTTTTGTTTTAAATACAGTAACTTCAAATTAAGTTTTATGCCTTGAAATTAAACATATAAAAGCTGTAGCACAAAAAATTTCCCACCTTATGTCACATTATGCTGTTTTTCCCAAATTAAACCAAACTGGCAACTTGTAGATAATGACGGACTGAATCATCCATGTTACTTTTTAACAGGCTTTTTAACTGCTAGAATAGGAGAGGTAAAGCATTTACCTCTGCTGATACAAGTTCTTCCAGCAGGTCAAGTTTACGTTGAGACAGCAGCTTTGAAACAACAGAAAAGGCCTACCAAAATAAAACAGAAACAAAAACCACACATGAACACGAAACTCTAGGTTGGCTTATTTTTCAGACAAATACGTAAGTATATGAGAAGCTACCCAAATATTCCATGATTTAAGATTTCAGTATTTGCAGAGGGTATCACCACTGGAATGTAATCTCTCCAGCATTACAAGAGTGATTTCATGGATTGATAAAAACATATGATTTATTTTCAATATCTTATTTAAAACATTAAAATTATTGGAAGCTTATTTAAAAAGCTTCCAATAGGTGAATTCATAGTTTACAAAAGAAAAAAAAGCTTTGCAGTATTTTGTATGTTGCTTTTATTCATTTTGATAATTCAGTCTGTGTCTTTCCCTGCCCTCTTTTCCAACTCATCTTCTTGTTTCAGTCAAAACTGATGCTGCAATTAAAAAATTTGCTTTAGAAATCTGGTTTAGTCTCTAGACTTCAAGAAACTCAACTCTCCTTTCTCCCCTCAATTTTGCAGGCATATTTGCATACAATCATGCCTCTACATATTCAACTAGTGCACTTGTGAAGGACAGTGTATTTAGGACTATGCACCAAGTAAAAACAAACAAACACCAGAACAAAACCTAGGAAAAACCAGCCAAGGTAAAACGGGTGGTTCTGCACAGACTTCATATTATTGTAGGTTGTGGGTTTTTTCCTCTCTTGAATTGATCCTAATCATTTTAACATTCTGTCCCCTGATGTGATGTTTTGAGCTAGTTTTTTGTTAAAAACATAAAAAGTTTACCAACACATACTCTGTAATTTTCATATAACTAGCTCTGAGATACTTACCTCTCTGACACATTCTGTTGACAAGGCTTACTGGGCTCATAAATTTGGAGAAATAAATATATATACACCAGTTCTATGTCTAAGCTTGATCATTTCAGGAAAACCTGCTAAGAGGAGACACACTTCTCCTTAAAGTCTCTATAACATTTGGAAGCACGCTACTTTGGGGGATGGCTTAACAAGTTCATTTTAATTGTGGAATCTGGGAAAACAAGAAATTTCTGAAGGAAAATATAGCTCTGCTAATGCCATTTGCCTTGAAATGTGATGCTTGGAGCCAACAGGGGGGAACTCCATATATTTTACACACAGGAGCACATTTGTGCTATGACGTCCACACATAATAAAATCAGGCTGGACATCAAGATGAATTTCTTCATGGAAAGGGCTGTCAAACATTGAAATGAGCTGCCCAGGGAGGTGGTTGAGTCATCACCCCTAGAGATGCTTAAGGAAAGACTCCGGTGCTGATGCCAGAAACTGGTTGACAAAGCGGTGTTTGGTGACACATTGGACTCAACATACAACACAGATACAGAGCTCATGGAGTGGGTCCAGCAGCAAGGACTGGGGGACTGGAGCATCTCTCCTACAGGAAAAGCTTGTGGGGTTGGAGTTCTTCAGCCTCAAGAACAGATGGCTGAGAGAGACCTCATGAATGTGTATAAATATTTAAAGCAGGGGGAGTGTCACAAGTATGGACCAGGTTCTGCTCGGTGGTGCCAAGCAACAGGGCAGGAGGCAACAGGGCAGGAAGCAACGAGTTTCTGCAAGGGCAGAAACTGATGCACAGAAGTTCCACCTGAACACAAGAAAGAACTTCTTTACCGTAAGTGTGACCAAGCAGAAGAGATTGCCCAGAGGTTGTGGAGTCTCCCTCACTGCAAATATCCCAGACCCGTCTGGACACCATCCAGTGCCATGTACTCTAGGACGACCTTGCTGGAGCAGGATGGAGCAGATGACCCACTGTGGCCCATTCCTAGCTCACCTGTTCTGTGATTTTGTGACTATCTCTAAAGTTTTCTCCAGCCTAACTGGTTCTCTAACTCCATGAAAATAACCGCAAGCATCGGCAGCCCCTGCGGAGGGCCAGCGGGACCTTTCCCCTCAGGCCGGCCGCTCTCCTCGCCCCGAGGCGCCAGGCCCGCTCACCTGCTTGGCTCCCCGCGTGAATTCTTCGATGCTGAATTCCTGGTCGAAGTAGAGGCGGATGAGCAGGTAGTAGAAGCGGGTGCGGAGCCAGGCGAAGGGGCTGGTGATCCTCACTACCATGACGCGCCGCTGAGGGCCCTCGGTCCCAGATCCGGCGCTGCTGGCGAACCGAGCGCTGAGCTGGGGCGGACGGGCCCGGGCGGGGCCCGGCGGGCCCGCTGCGGCCGCGGCCGGCGGCAGGAGCCGGGCAGAGCCCGCCAGCGCCCGCGCCAGCCAGCGGACACGGCCCGGAGCCGCGCAGCGCAGCGCCATGGCCGCCCCGCCCGCCCCGCCCCTCCCGCGCGGCCGCGGCTCCGCTCCCCGGAAACGCGGCTGAGGCCGCCCTCAGGGCGCTCCAGCCCCGGCACCGCCGCAGAGGGGCGGCCGCGCGCTGCTGCCCTGCAGGGCCGCCTCTGAGCTACGGTGTCCTGGTTTGCGCTGCCCAGACAACAGAGATAAGGAGCTACTAGGGAGAGTCCAGCGGGTGCCACAGCTACGATGGACGGGCCTGGAGCATCTCTCTTCATGAGGAGAGACTGCGGGAACTGGGCATGTTCAGTCTGGAGGAGATTGTGAGGAGATCTCATGAATGCATAGAAATACCTCAAAGGCGGGTGCCAAGAGGATGGTCCCAGGCACTTCTCAGTGGTGCTCAGTGACAGAACGAAGAGTAATGGCCATAAACTAAAAGATAATGAGTTCCACCTCAGCTTGAGAAGGAGCTTAATTAGGTTGAGGGTGACAGAGCACTGGAACAGGCTGCCCAGGGAAGTCATTGGATTCTCCCTCTCTGGAGATATTCAAACCCCACCTGGTCATGTTCCCGTGTCACCTGCTGCAGGTGACCCTGCCGTGGCAGGGCTTGGACTCGATGCTCTCCAGAGATCCCTTCCAGCCCCGGCAATCCCGTGATCCGTGGGCTCCCGGCCCTTGCCCGGAGGGCGAGGCAGGAACGCTTCTGCGCGGGCTCTTCTTTCCGGGGGAAGCGGCGGGGCGGACGCGGCGGCGGCGGCCATGGAGCGGCGGGAGCAGCGGGCGGTGGCCGTGGAGCGGCTGCAGGGGGTGACGCGGGAGCGCTTCCTGCGGGACATCTACCCGCGGGTACGGGGCGCTCTGCCCGGGCCCGCCGCAGCGACTGCGGCTCCACGGACACACGGGCAAGGCAGGAGGGGTCTGAGGACCCCTCCTCAGCGGGCGCAGCTGGGGCAGGCCAACCTGGGTTTGGGTTTGTATGTTCCCGGAAGGGTGCCCTGATCCATTGAGGGGAATGGGAGTTTAGGAGCAAGGAGCTTCTATAGGCGGGTCCTGTCTGAGCTGCTGGCAAGTTCCGACAGGTGATCTCTATAAGAGTCCATTTCGTTTGGCAGTGGTTAAAAAGGTAGTTTTGTTGTTTTGTAATCTCTTGTTTTATTCCCGACACCCCCCCCCCCCCCGCCCCTTACTCCCCACCCTCCGAGGTCCCAGTTAAAAGCAGAAGTCTCTCTACTTTTTATGTGCAGGCTCGATCAAACCTGTTCGTTGTTGTGAGCAGCAAGGAATCTTGATACAGATGGAAAGAGCTTCTTTCTCTCATGAGAGCATAATAGCATCACCACAGCTCACAGGCTGCACCTTAACTGTGTGGGCTTTTACATGTTTTGTGCTAAGCCTTGACTAGAACGATTAAATTTATTCCTTCTTCTGCTGGGATTTCCTAAATGACCCCAGCACAAAGTGTGGGCCATAATTATCTTTGCCTCTCCATATCCTTCCTTACCCAACTAGGAAAGAACACATAGTTAATAGAGAAACAGTTCCATAATTTGCTGCATTTTGTTTCAACATTCAGAATTTGATTCACATTGCTTATGAACAGATTAGTTGTGACCTTGTGTAGTGGGTCCTGGCGTTCAACTGACTTGTTTGCTTGGATGTAATTTGAAAAATTAATTATGGGGGTTTTTTTTTCTGTTGGATGCTGTGATCATTCACCACTGACTTTTTTTTTGTTGTTGTTTCTTAGAGAAAGCCAGTAGTGCTGACAGGACTGGAACTGGGCACTTGCACCACCAAATGGACAATAGATTACTTGAGCCAAGCTGAAGGATCTAAAGAAGTAAAGATTCATGTTTCTGCAGTGCCACAGATGGATTTCCTCAGTAAGAACTTTGTGTATAGGTACTTCACTCCAAGGCCTCTTGTATTTTAAAGGCATGTGCTTGTGACTTAGACATACAGTGCATCTGTTTGAAGCTGAGGGTGGGAATAGGAAGATAGTTTGTGAAAACACGACATTATGTATCAAAGGGTTGTTCTAGATTTCTCCATCTTCTGTTAATTCTACACCCTGAATAAATAAAACAAAGGTGAGATGAGGGGCCAAACAGCACCTTAAAAATTATGTCACGAAGTGTTGTAAAGGTATTTTGTCAGAGCACTCTTGCAGGACATTTGAGCCTGGTATTTGCAGCTGTTAATTGAAAACAAACCAAAACACCCTTGATATCTACACCTGATGACATGGTATTTTGTTGTAGTTACATGGTGCATTCTCAGTGTTACTGAATACTGACAATTTCTGACTCACTGTGTGTCTGATCCCCTTTGAATGGTGTGTGTGTGCCAGCCAAGGTATTCCACTCCAGAAAGGGTGTAACTATTTAAAAACAAGCTGCTTTCAAAGTTAGCATGTGCAGCTTTCAGAATGTTCAAACCACTGGATACCACACGTCACCAGCTCTTTAATCTTGATGTGGACCACAAAAACCCTTGATCTCCTCTGGAGCTTCTCTTATGTAACTACCAGAACATCTCTTCAGAGTTCATCTAATCTCAGTCATTGTGTAAATTTACCCCCTTCAAGGGTCAATGCCTTTATTTTAGCAGTCCTTTGTTTTCCCCAGGTAGGAATAGGATGTGTTCAGTCTGTTAAGCTTCTAAGCGGGTGGGAGTTCATGCTGTATGTGTAAACAAGCCACAAGTCTGAGTGGAGCCTGTTGTTCAGGGGATACACACAAATTACAGTCATTATGCATTCTGCTCCTGCATAGTGAACTATTGAAATGAGGATGTACTTGAATAACTTTGCCTTATCTCCATATTTCATTTTCCCTGCTCTGTTTTGGGGTTTTTTTTAGTATCTCTTGCTGTGAGATACAGTTGTTCTGGAGTCTTAGTTTGAGCAGGTTTGTAGACAGCCAAATAGACTCTCTGGATGCTCTGATGGTGTTTCATTATAGCAGGTGTCAGGACTTTCACATGCTTCACTTGAAATCCAGGAAGCTTTGACCTTTTCCACAGCAAGCCTCTCATTCTAATCTGAAGGGACAATAAGTAGAAACAAAATAATAGAAACTCTGAGGACTTAACATGCAGTTCTATTAGTTTAAACTGATGAGCATCAGTAGTACTGCAGTTCTGTTGTAAGTTGCATGCTCCTACCCCTGTTTTTGTGTTGGTTCTGGAACTCATCCAGCCAGGTTGTGACGTGCTGCAGAAATCTGAATGGTCTTCTGCTTTTCTAGCTTTGTAAGCAGGTTCATGGAGAGGTCAGATGAGTGCCAGTGCTACTGTATGGGGGGAGATGGGGTGATTAGGGTAGATAGCAAGGGCAGAGCTGTGGTAGCACCAGAGTGCATCAGTTTAAGCTGTAGTAGAGCTGTGCTCTCACTTTCTTCAGCAGCAAACATAAGTGGACATGATAGAACAGTTTGGCTGAAGTCAGAGCACTGGGTTTTGTTTGGTTTCCCAATGACTTCAGTGGATTTTGTATTTGCCTATTCCAAACAAGCATAAAATGTTTAGAGAATTGGTTTAAGTACTGTCAGATGCAGGTTCACATTCTACTAAAAAAGATAACAGGATCAAGAAAAATTTTGCTTGAGAATGGTTTCTTCTTAACTCTGGGTCCTTGGAGGTTGCTCTGAAATGTGATGTTTACATGCAATAGTTCATGTTCATTATCCAGTGACACTTAGTGTGAGATGGTGAGCTGCGCAAATGTAACATTGAATTCAAAATAATAAATGCATGTCCTATTGATGATTATGCTTGGCTTGCCATGTAGTTATCAAGTGATACCAGAATCTGTAATCTGTATGAAAAGCTCCCATTATGTAGATAAATATATATCACTCTTACTGACTTCAGAGAGACCAGCTCTAATGCTCAGTGAGTCTTCTTGAATCTTCTGAAGTTGTGTTTAGTAAATTTAAGGAAAACTGCAAAGAAACATTTACAATATTGAGATTCCTGTATTTTGAGGAGCTGAGAAAGCATATATTAAAAAAAAAATCCATATAGCTGAAAAAAAAAATTATAGATGTACAAATGAAGGTAGACTCTGTGTTCCTGCACAAATTCATGGCAGAAAATGCATAGATATGAACATGTGCATCTTCCTTGTTGGAGTTTTCTTGATGCTGAGCTTTTCTGCAAATTTATAAAAATGTACAGTAAACCAGTCTAAAAATGACACACTTAAACAGTTAATCAAGTATTGTCACAATTTGAGTCTTAATTTGACTGTGAAAAATGTATTGTTCTGTGACTCAGACCATTCAGAACTCATAAGCTCAAGAGGGGATCTTAACAAATTGTATGAGCAGTTGGTGGAGCCAGATTCTCTGTGGTCCATGGTGACAGGACAAGAGACAATGGGCACAAGTTGAAATGCAGAAAATTCTGTTAACCCTTTTAACACACACAGACACACACTGTTTTACAGTGAGGTTAGTCAAACAATGGAACAAATGTAACACGTTGCCTAGAGAGATTATAGAGTCTCCATCCTTGGAGATCCATGAAACCGAACTGGATGCTGTCCTGTGCAAGCTGCTGTAGTGAACCCTGCTCTTGGCAAGGGGCTTGGACTGGAGGAGGTCCAGAGGTGCTTCCAGCCTCAGCTGCTACAGGATTCTCTTTGGATATATATTGGAACAATTCACTAAAGCAGAGAAGTTTCCAAGTGTAGGATTTCTGTCTTGCGAGAACTCTTCAAACATCTGCAAATACTGATTAGTCATCATGTTAATTTTAAAAAGTAAGAGATCAGCCTATTGCATCTTCCATTGTATTTGATATTAAGGGAGCTTATTATAAATCTAGGGTTTAGACCATGTGTTGTTACAGTGATTCATGGTATAAATTCAAATATTTATATTTCAGAACTCTGCCTTTTGATGCATTTGTACGAAGAGCAGCTGAAGTCAAGCACAAGGAGTACTTTCTTACTGAGGTAATTTCCTTAGTGCCACAGTTTCTTCTGCTGGTTATTTTAATGGTATATGGAGAGAAAAGTGATGAATTGTAATTTAAAGTCTTACTTCAGTGAAAAACTTGATCTTTGATTTAACTTTCTTGTGGGTTGATGCCAAAGGAAAAATGTGAGTGGTAGTTATTCTCAGAAGTTTTTTTGTATGTGTACAGGGTGGTTATCTTCAGTCATCCTGTGTCTCTTAACAAAAACTGCTTACATGAGCAAAAATTCCAATATGAAATTTAGAAATCAAACCTTGCTTTAGAATAACAGCCATATCATTTGTGTGTTTTGCAAGAAAATGTCATGAAGGTATTTTAGAATTTGATGACTATCAGAATACAAATCCAGACATATTGTAACATAACTTGTGAGTAGTAAATGAGTGGTTATCTCTACATATCAGTGTTCAGGCTAGGGATTTTTCAAATAACTGTGATTGGGAAGCAAATAGTTTTGAATGTAGACACGATTTTTACCTTTTATGCTGCATAGAATGCTGTAAGTTTTGAAGCCAATAAAAATAGTTTTCTGCATCAATATACTGAAGAACTTAAATTATAATCTGCATTTGCATTGAGTCTGTTCAGTAACAGCAATGCTGAAGCAGTTGACCAGTCTCCCCACACTTTACTCTTTTCCTTTCAGTTAACTTTTTTTTTCCCTTTTCTCATGATGAGCTGCAGGGATCAGTAAATGACAATATAACAAAGTAGCTGAATTTGTAGATGCCCTTTATTTGCACCATATTTTAATGAAAATCTGCATTAGATAAATGAGAAAATACAAGCTCTTTGCTTAAGTGTTTTGGTAATTCTTATTAAAAACCCCCAAAATTCTCTTTCTGTGTTCTCTTCAGGATGAAAAGTACTATTTGCGATCAGTGGGTGAAGATGTTAGGAAGGTAAGTTACTGGAGATTACAGTTCTAATATTGTAAAGTTGCAGTTTAGAAATATTTTTAAAAGCCTGTTGTCATACAACTTACTTAGGGTCACATGGTTTGTGAATCTGACTGAATTTAGGTCAGAGTACTTCAGTGTGTCTAAAATAGTTGCTGTTGCTTGGGAGCTGAGCTGATCATTGAAGGGTACATTGCTAAACTCCCTTTTTTTTAGCTTTTGTTGTAAACTAATATAAAAGGATTTATGTTGATCTCGTGCTCCTGCAGTGTGATTCCTAGCAGCCATGGTTAAGAGCAGCTCTCTGGCTGTTCTTATTAATGGCATTTGGCAAGTCAATGCTCAGAAGCATTTCTGATTTCAGGTGTTTGCCCATGCTGAAGTTCTAAGCCTGTTTCATATGATTGGAAATTATTGTGACGTGCTCCCCCATTTAAATGTGCATAGAGGGTTCTCTAAGAGTTATGCCCTTTCTGTTTCAGGATATTGCAGATATCAGGAAGCAGTTTCCTGTTTTAGCAGAAGATATTAATATTCCAGAGTATTTTGAGAAGGAACAGTTTTTCTCTAGTGTCTTCCGCATCAGCTCAGCTGGATTACAGTTGTGGACACATTATGATGTAGGTAATACATGGATTTAGCATAAAATGTTGCAGATGGCATTACAGAGTTGAGAGAATAAAGTGCAAATCTCTGTCAAAGATTAGAGAATAATAACAAACGTCACATATTTTGAAATAGTAAAATGAACTACAATCAGTAGTATGGTGAGTTTTAAACATTGCATTGCTTAGGCATAATATCTTAACTGGGTTTATGTCTAATTCCAGATTTGTAAGATTAAAGGATGTTTTATTTTGTTTCCCTTTTTTAAACCATTTTGAGTTTCAGTTGAAAATCTGAAAGACAGTAACTTTAAACATTTTTGTCTTCAACATTGCTTTAGGTTTTTTTTTTTTCACTCTAATGGTCAGATTAGGATAAATTCTAGTTGTATGATACACAGCCAACTGTGCAATGACTGTAGTGGTTTCTGGCTGCAATGGAATAGATTCCAAATAAGGTTGTCTTCTAACACTGCAGTGAGTTCTGAATAAATTTATTTATAAGATAATTCTTAGCATCTGAAGGTTTTATTAATACTCTTTTTATAAGCTAATAATTAGATCAGTTGAAGTCTATATATTTATTCAATCAACTTTTGGTTGGCATCTCTATTATTACACTCATCCCAGGTAATGGACAACTTCTTGATCCAAGTCACAGGGAGAAAACGAGTTGTTTTGTACAGTCCTCGAGATGCACCATATTTATATTTATCAGGTATGCATGATTTATATTTATCAGGTATCTAGATTGGAGTTTGGGGATCTTAGCTTTTCAGCTCACAAGTGTTGCACTGTAGAAAATAATCACTAACAGATGACTTGGTATAAAAGAAGTGATTTGTTCCTTTAACTCTGATTCTGTGTGCTTTAGTCAAAGCTAAGGAAAACAGCAGCTTTGCCTGATTATTTTCAACACCTAACTGAGGGAGTAAAATGTTCTGTCTGGGTTCAGAATGGCTTTTTAGATATCAGGAAAAGTGGTTTTTAGTGTTAATGAGGTTGCAGTTACAGAACAAATACAGACAACAGGAGAACATCTCTTCAGTGAATGAGAGGTGCCATCAGGTTTTTAAGAAATAAACCAGTACTAAATTTGACTAAAAAACTGCCATCTTCAGCAATATGATAATGCTTTGTTACTATTGGAAGAGTGGAAATGTTTATTCACTGAAATTTTCCTAGGTACCAAATCAGAGGTGCTGGATGTGGATAACCCAGACATGGAGAAATATCCCCTTTTCGTGAAAGCCAAGCGCTATCAATGTGTTTTGGAAGCAGGAGATGTGTTATTTATTCCAGGTAAGTAGTAAATAGTTCCTGACCATGGCATGGTATTAAACAGTCTTGTTTCTAATTTATGTTTTCTGGAGATGGTAAGAGATTACTAAAGCATTTCTCTAAGTAGGAGCATTGAAAGATGTTGGCAAAACTAGTTTACTTCTTCCAACAGTACAATTAACCCGAGAAACAGTATTATTATATCTACCTACAAACCTTGCTTTCCCTCAAATGTACACTCTATGCTCCTGATTTTGTGTCTTAATAGATTAATACTATAAAATTACCTTCTGAAATCTGAAATGGCTTCAGTGACCTGAATTTTTTAGTGACAGAATGTGAGTGAAATACCATTTCTGTTCTTCTGTAGCTCTGGCACTGAAGCACTATGAGGCACATGGTCTGATGAGAATTATGGATGGTACAGTTATTGGACCTTCAAACTATTAATAATAATTTTGGGGAATGGAAACATAAGTCCTAATGATTTTTCTGCACAAGCAGAAAGCTGCTTCCTGGACTGACATGACATAGTCAGGGAAAGGCATTTGCATTACTCCTATTGAACTACTCCTTGTTACTGATTTTATTTTAACTCATTGTGAGCTTGCAGCAGATATGACTTATCCTGTCACTTTTACATTATCTGGACAATATAAACAGGTCAGTAAACAAGAAGGCAATAGGTTTTCAGGAAGTAATTTTATAATTATTTCTTAGCCTTGGACTTGTTACCTAATTTTGAACTTACCTTTATGGTTCTTCCTAAATAAACTTTTGGTCACAGTTAGATAGTTGTATGTCACACTGCTGCTGATGTCAGCTTTCCTGTTTTCTGTTTATGAAGTCCAGGTACTTGTTTGTCTTTTCCAGTGGGTGAGCAGAGTTAAACTTGAGACACACTCAGCTCTCTTAAGAATGACTGGGGAGTACAGGGATTTTTGAGTCCAGAGTATGGTGCTTTGTCAGCATCCTGCAGTGCATATCGCTGAAAAAAAAAAAAAAAAAAGTTTTCTGAGGAATGTGTGTGGTTGTTATGAAGGAGGTAGAAGCAGCCCCTCTTCCTAACCTGAAAGAAACTTAATGTTAATTTCTCAGAATAAACCTTTCTATGTCTTCAGCACCTACAGGCAAATAAGATAAAATGAATACAGCATTCAGACTTTTAGCTTAAAATTCAAATATCCTAAATATACCATATTAAACTGATTCTTTAAATGCACTCAATGAAACAGAGATGTCTTGGGTTCCTTACCACAGTCATGATGATTCAGCTGAAAAGCCTCATGCCTTCATTATGAGAAGATTAGTGACTTTGGCTGAGTGACTTGGTTGATGCTGGTGGTTTACATTAATGCCTGGACAGAGTGTGCAAGGTTAGGGACTAAGTGAAAATAGATACCTGCATTTAGAGTGGAGGAGAGCAAGGTAAGGTGTTTTCCTTTCACCCAACACATGCTTATCATTTGCTTACATTTGAGTACCTCTACACTTCAGCAATTGTTACTTTTATGAGAAGTTATGGAGCAGCATAAATGTCTTGAAAAGTTTCTTAAATTTGGTACAATGCAATACATTCATATGGATATTTATGAATAAACAAAAATACAGTAGTTGAGGATTTTCCTCAACTAGATTTAGTTTGAGCAATTCTGATACTTGGAGTCACATGGAAGTTTTGGACAGTAATTTTTATTTTAGACACTGTTCTTTCTACAGCTTTGTGGTTCCATAATGTAATTTCTGAGGAATTTGGAGTGGCACTGAATGTCTTTTGGAAGCACCTGCCTGCCGAGTCTTATGATAAGACTGACACTTATGGAAATAAAGATCCCATGGCAGCCTCTAGAGCTATACAGATCTTGGACAGAGCCTTGAAAACACTTGAAGAACTACCTGAGGAATATAGGGATTTTTATGCTCGGAGAATGGTGTTACGCATCCAAGAAAAGGCCTATAGGAATGATTATGGATAAAGTAACACGCTGCAATTCAGCAAGGTCCCTTGCAAGTAGAAAATTGTTTGTTAGTATGGAGAGTGTCCATCTGTACTTACATACACTTTCTGTGAGACGAATAAAAACTGTCAATAAACACTCATCTATAACGAAGTTCCTCTTGTAGATTTTCTTCCTAGTTTTTCATGTGGAGTGAGGTCACAGTCTGCTTGATCTGGAGATTGTCTCTTTTCTGCAATAAGACAGACATTTGCTGTGCCTCCACTTACAACTGTACATTTTTGGAATGTTCTACTTAAATTTTTCTGAACAAAAGTTTTGGTATGTGGGCTGACAGCATGTGTGCTTAGAAGTCTTTGTGAATGCAACCTCATTACATTTTAGGAAAGCCATAGTGGTTTCTGAGGAGGTCCAAGCAAGCCATTGGTGGTAGCTGTAATGGTCATGGTTTCTTCTTAAGTGATAACCTAGCAATAGTGTAGGGAGTTTGTTCTCCCCCTTGTAGTGAGATAGAGTGGGTATGGGGAAAAAAAGCAAAAACAAACCATGCCAGATTACACTTAGAAGTTTGTGCAGCAGCTTGAGTGCAATGTTAATGATTTACCCTTTTCCTAGCTCAGTAATGTGTTACTGGGGGGAATATCTTTGTCACTGCCCCAGTGCAGTCAGACAGCATTGCTGTTCCTGCAATGCCAACAAACACTTGGCACTAATGTGCCCAAAAATCCATTCAGATACAATCCTGTTATCTGCAGTGAAGTTCAGTTGTGGAGTAGACACAGAACCTGTTGAGGCTGTTTTGTTACCATATGAAGAGGGTTTGCATAGCACCTTTTGGGATGGAGCCTGTTGTTTAGGTATTGTATGTTACTTTTTCAGCAGATTGTGGTGCTTACAAAAGCCCTGTGAAATAAAGGTGAGGATCTGACAAAAAGGATAGGCTAGGCATTGTCTCTTTGAAACATCTCTGATGTTATTACTTGTGCTGTTTGGGGAATGCAGCATTTATCTGACTGAGGTCAGTCTGTTACTTCTAGCAATGTGTTTTGAGAATTGTAACTTGTCAAAAACCCTTAGACAAAATAAATGTTCAGTGTTAAAAAAGTGCTGGAAAAAAGATTTCTTCAGGAGAGCAGGAGCTTGAACAGTGAGTAGATTATTCTTCTCAACCTGTTCTTCTTGGCAGTTCAACACAGTGAAAATAGTCTGGTACCATGTGAATGGGCACCCGGCCACCTCAATGAATAAGCATGAATGGAACCAGCCAAGCGATTCTGATGGGCATCATTGTATGTTCTGAGGGTAGAATTTAAATTTGGGATCACAAATAGGTCTCCCAAAATTTTTGTTCAGAAAGGAACAAGGATTGCTTGTGCATACTGCTGAGACAGACTCTCTGCCCGTTAGGCTGGGGTAACCTCTTGGCTTTATTGGACTGGTAATGTCAAGGGCCCAGTCTGAATTGCAGAGGTGAACAGAGCATATTCTTTGTGTGTTAGGACTAAAAGGAGAGGTTCAGCGAGCCTGCAGGGCTCAACAAAGCTGTGTTCCAGCATTGTGCCTGCACAGCCATCACTTTAACTGCCAGCAGCTTCTCAAGATACTGGTACAGAGAATTACTGTGCTGATGTCTCCTGCCCTTCCTTGGGTCTCCGTTCACAAAAGGGAGGTGTCAGCTTGGTATTCTCAGGCTCCCTCAACACTCAAGTGTAAATTTTATCTTCAAGCTGCCAACTTTAAAATGAAGCTTTTATTTCACTTTGAAAGAGTTTCTTCAATTTGTTATTTAGTAACTAAAACTGTTGTTCTGAAATGCTATAAAAGGAGAATACAAGCATTTAAAAATGTATTTTCTTAATTTGAGTATAATAAAAATCTGGAAGTTACTGTGTTAAAAAAAATAAGTAACTTAGTGCTTTGTAACTACTGTGCACCATGGTGTGAAGCAGGCAACAAAGTGATGAATGAATGGTGAAAGCATTAAAGGAATAACTTTCAGATAAACAGTAAGAGATTACAGGTAGGCACACTTAGAAATCCATGACTGAAATCACACAAAGAATTAGAGTCACTGACATTTTGTGAATGTTTGTCTGTTAGAGATTCTGCCACAATAAAACAGATAAAGTTGTGTTAACAGGTATTAGAAAAATAAACATTGACCATCTTAAGCATTCAAAGCAGCCACTTCAAACAGTGTATTTGTAGGAATTGGGTGATGCAGACTGCCCAGGACTGGACGATGAGTTGACAGTTACATAAAGACAATGTCTGAAATCAGAAGTTTAAACTCGGCCTACCCCAAACCTTGAATTACTCTGAAAATTTGGTGACTGAGGCATTTAAAATGGAAATTCATTGCAAATCAACACCTGGAAATAATTATTTATTCTTAGCCATATGAAATATAAAGAATGACAAATTATTTCAGGTTTCATTTTTTTAAAATGTGCTTGCTGTGGAAACATTCAAATGAAAAAATTGATGTCAAAATATTTTTCTTGTCAAACAATTAAACATAAAAAAACCCATAAATTAAACATTAAAAATCTGCCTTTTGTGTTTGTGCTTAGAATTTTATGTACTTAGAACATGTTCCTCTCCAGTAGCTACACAGGGTCTAGGTAAAGTGTCAAGTTAAATGCCTAATGAGAAAGGGTTTGACTTGATTACAAAGGATCAGAAATACATCTGTAATTTTTTTAAAATATGCAGGATGAAACTATTTGTCTCATTCACCCTGTTGGTTTCACAAGACTGACTTGACTAAGATGAGAAAGATTTTACCACAGCAGAGGGGATATTACATATGATGTGATCCCAATAATTCCTGTATACCATTGACTCTTTCTTCTTCTCACCAAAATGTATCTTCCCAAACCTCGTATCTTCCTGCAAATGATACAGGTGTCAAAGATACGCATTCTGAGACAGTAGTTTTTACAAGGGATTCTCTTAAGTTGGTATCACTGAATAAGCAAAGATTCTGGTGTTATTTGAAGGACAGATGAAATTTTACATTTTTGTAGTTACCCATGTTTGCATTAAAGCTGTACATTTAAGATCTCCTGTTTTATTTTGGGTCAGACTCTATAGTGGGGATAGATCTGAGCTCTGAATGTAGGAATTTCTGGGAACAACAATCTCTAAGTGGCGATTCCTGAGAGCAATAAGAGCAGGTGACTTGTCACAGATTGAAGCCATTAAAAGAACTGCTCAACCATGGCAAACATGCAGCTCCACGTGTGGTGCCACGTTCATACAAGAATGCTCAGAAGCTGATGCTTGCAGTAATGACACAGATCATAGCAGTGGACAATTTCTGCTGTGAAAACATTTATACTTCAGCTGTCAAGCAGGACATGAATTACTTTAAACTTCCACCACAAAACTGTAATGTATTTCCCATGATGGGAATTGGAAAGAAGAGCTAAGCACATGCTCTGTAAGGGATGCAACAGCTTTGACACCCAGGCTAGGGAGTATTGCTCAGAACATAACCTCTGGTGTGGGAGAAGAGCCTTGTCCTGCCCTCAGCACTGCTCTGTCTCTTGACTGGTTTTTATGTCTTGCAGCAGTGCTTTCTTTAGAAACAACTCAGCTCTGGAGTGCAAAGTTTAACAAAAGAAACTAGCAATCATGACTGAAAGTGCTCTTTTGAGAGCCTACTGAAACAGAAAATTTGTTCTGAACCTTGAAGTAATGGCATTCTGTTCATTTTCAGTACGTAAGGTGTTTATACACATGAATTAAAACCAGATAATTTATGTTTCCCTTTTTTATTACCAGTTGCTTTTCTGGTCATTTGTTCAGGTAGAACCTGACACTTCTTGGGTCACTTGGAAACATATATCAAGCCCTAATGATAGGAAACGACAAAGCCATCACTACCTTATATCCCACACTACACTATATTCAAAACGACTGCCTGAATCAGTCTTCCATGGTTTCCACAGTGATGTGGAACAGCTGATCCAGTGCAAGTGGGTTCTTTTGTCATCAGGAGGAGTGAATTACAATGCTAATACCTATAGAATGAAGTTTGGCAGGAACAGTATGTCTGGCACTGGAAGAGGCAGTGCCTGTCTGATACATAGGTGTTATATGATCTTGCCTTACTGGCTTAATGAGTTTATGTTACTTTATTCCAGTTAAAAACAGTCACCCTGCCTCTGAACAGAGTTAAGAGATCAACAATACCAACAGAATGCCAGCTTTGGTCTTAGGTTCTCCATCTGCAATATTCAAATGTGTCTAAATTTTCATTAGGTTATGATCATTACAAGTAAATATTTTTATTTAATCTACCATCCTTACAAAAATTAAATGAGATTTCAATATAAGATTTTAAAAGATTATGAAGTAACTTTGAAGGTAATTTAAAGAGGCTGTCTCTTATGGATTGCAGTCTTGAGACACCTGCCTTTGCTTTTGTATTGCACAAGACACATATTTGTGTTTGTAGATTCTGCTAGGCTGTGATGTACCCAAAAGTGTGACTCACAACAGAGCACCCACATCCCAAAACTTTCATTGTTAATAAATTCTTTCTTGTATGAACTGATAAGACCCCATGTAATTTAAAATAAGCATTCAAGGTAAATGAATGGGTATACAATTAAACTCAGTGCTTCAAATTTCAGCCTGTACAAGACCACAGATACTGGTTATGTGCAGAGATGAAGTAACTGTTACAGCTCCTTTTTTCTCCAGGGAAAATCTCAGTGCATGCTCATGCACAATCATTTTTATCTGTGCATATCCA